ATATATATATATATACACACACACACACACACACACACACACATATATATAAAATATCAGGAGCCCTGCTTCATAGAGCTCTTGATATAAAAATTAAAGAATATATATTTATATATAATTTCATGTTACACATATATATAATCTCACATCACCTTTGTAAAAAATAAATGTAAACATAAAACTTAACTTCCAGATTCTCAATTCTGTATAATTGGTCTATACTGTATGTCTATCCTTATGCCAGTACCACACTGTTTTAAGTACTGTAGCCTTATGGTAAGTTCTGAAATCAGGAAGCATGAGTTCTTCAACTTTGTTCTTTTTCAAGACCATTTAGGCTATTCTGGATGCTTCCAGCTTCCATGTAAATTTTAGTACCAGCTTGTTAATATCTACACAGAAGCCAGCTGTAATTCTGATAGGGATTGCATTGGATCTGTGGATCAATTTGGGAAATACTGCCATCTTAACTTAAAACTCTTATTAAGCCTTCTAATCCAAGAGCATGGATCTCTTTCCACTTATTTAAGTCTTTTAAAATTTCTTTCAACAATGGTTTATAGTTTTCAGAGTATATGTTTTACAATTCTTTTGTTAAATTTGTTTCTGAATGCCTTCTTCTATTTGATAGTCATAAATGGAATGGTTTTATTTTCATTCAGATTGGTCATTGCCTTCATGGTGTTTTAAAGTCCATATCCCTCTTGACTGTCACTAAATTATTTTTTGTATTTTAGAGAGGTCTCTGTCAGAGTTTTGCAGGTTGGAGATGGCTGATATATCAAGTTAGCTAATATTATCAATTTACTATACTCTCCCCTCATCCTCACTAGAATACAGAATCTATGAGAGGAGGGTTCACCACTATCAGCCCAGTATTTGGCTCATAGTAGGTGCTTAATAACTACTTTGTTGAATACACACATATTAGGTACTAAATAAATTCATTCATTCAAAGATCTATTGACCACAAAGAATAGACCAGGTAGACTGACACTTATTCAGTAGACCAATGAATCCCAGCCAGTATGGTTGGGACCTAGTGTGTTGTATATGCATGGGTGTGTGTGTGTGCACACTCATGTGTGCACATGCACACTTACATGTGATTCAGGGAAAGCCTGTGTAGCTAAGTATTAAGACACTTGGTCTCAAAAGTTCAATCTGGGTTTGAATCCTTACTACTAGTTGCAGCTGTACAACCTTGGACAGATTACTTAGCTTTCCTAAGGCTCAATTTCCTCTTCTGTAAAATGGAGATTGCAATTGTATCTGAAGATAAGGCTCCTGATATAAAAATTAAAGAATATAAAGCATGGAAAGCACTTGGAAGCCCCCAGCTCATAGTATTGCTTGGTAAATGTTAGCTGTTACTATTACTCTGAGCTAAGTAATTTCCAAATATTTCTGAACATTGTCTCCTAAATATGTATAATATGCATTTTCAAATGTATTTAATGCTGCTGTGGATGAAAAATATAAATTCATATATTACAGGATTCACAATAACGTTCTGTCCTTTTTGTCTAGACAAGAGTTACTAAAAGTATAACCAAATGCTTGTGGCTAAGGGTGTCCATGATCTTTTCTAACCTAAAAAATAATCCTCATACTAGGCTGTAATTTCCATGAAGGCAAAGACCTTGCCTATCTTATATTTCTCTGCATCTCTACCACTTGATGCATATTATAGGCACTTAATAAGTAGTCATCTGTTTATTTTTTGCAAATGAAATTAGCATTGTTGGCAAACATTGCTCACGGCTCACAGCATCTGTCGGTGCTTGTCGCTGGCTTGACTGTCAGAGGAGAGCAAAAAAAGAGTCTGCAGGAGCTAGTTTCAAGTCTCAATCTTTTGGGGGCCTTAAACTATCCAGGGAGCACTTCATAGATTAGAGGTGCTAGCTGGTAACAGAGGATATTAGGAGCCAAAGTTTTCTACCTCTTTTGATGGTAAGAACAAACAATCACATGGCACATTCTGTGTGACTGGTCACACAAGGAACAGATTGACAGCCTTCAGGTTTTTTTCAGGTCAGGATCCCCACGATCATGCTCAAATCAGTAGCTGGGCACACTCAGACACACACATACAGGTCTCCCCATCTCCTCCCACTTTATGCCCTTGACCCCTCAAAGTCTATGAAGCAGATACAATTGCAATCTCAACATAAATGAATCTTACTGTCAGTGATTTAGTGGAACTATTTATTTATTTATTTATTTATTTATTTATTTATTTATTTATTTATTTATTTAATATATCTTTATTGACTTCAAAGAAAGGAAGGGAGAGGGAGAGAGAGATAGGAACATCAATGATGAGAGAGAGTCACTGATTGGCTGCCTCCTGCAGGCCCCCGACTGGGGATCGAGCCTGCAACCTGGGCACATGGCCTAACTGGGAATCGAACTGCAATCTCCTGGATCCTAGGTCGATGCTCAACTGCTGAGAAATGCCGGCCGGGCCAGTGGTCCTATTTAAATGAGCCATTAGCAGGCTGCTTATCAGGCAAAAAGTTCATTTCTAATGGTAGTATTTGTGTTCTGATTTATACGTGTTGGCAGCTGAGAGGTGATGTTTTTTGCTTGTTTTTGTTGTTGCTTTGCATATGAGTTTGTTTTTATTGCTATAATACAAAAACAACTATTTGCTTCTTGCTTTTGCAGCACTGAGTGCCATATTCTTGGGCATCAGGAGGGCCTACATGGATTCATTCATTTACCCAGGAAAAGTGGTAGCATATTTTAGATCGATTCCTTACATCATGTCTGTGCACAGCTGACACACAGTTATCTGAACTAGAGTAAGAGGATAGATTATAGCATCAAGCCACAGGAAATCCTGTATTTTATCTTAGGCAGTAATTTTAACTTCTTTTTTGAAACCTTTCACTAGTGTGGAGTCGAGTCAAACATGATGGGTCTTTCACACCAGACTGAGGCGTTTGGACTGACTTCAGGGTAGATAAGAATCGCAGCTGAATAGGATGCTGTCAGTTGTCAGCTTGGAGAGAGATCAGATTGCTGTGATGCAGTTATTTCAAACCCCTGCTTTCCCATCTTTCTGCTGGTCGGTAGGGTAGAATCGTCCTGGTTTGGCAGTTTGCTTACCTGGCGCGAGGAGGCGATGCTGGAATTGGGGCTGCACAGGGGCAGGCGGAGCATATGGGGAGAGCTGGCAGTAACTGAGGGTTTTGTGTTTGAGTTTGCTTTAAGCTTCACACACGTGTATCAATGAAACTTCTATTATATGGCAAAATAAGTGGATTTTCTTTGTAGATGGAGTTGGCAGGTTTTTAGAAAGAAGCATTTACTGTTAAGTCATTAGGGGCAAAAATCACTCATCAATAGTTAGAAGAAAAGAGGGAATGGTGAGCTGGGTGGTGGGTCATGTTCAACACACTAGCAGTTACCTTTCCGCATAGGAAACAAAAGTATTTTTTAGCTTCCAGATGCCACTCCTGACCCTAGCGTGTGACCTTGGCAGGGGAGGCGGGGCATGTGACTTGACTCCCTTCACCCTCTCAGTTGGGAAAACAGTTCACAGTGTATGTCATTTGACAGTGACTTAGTCTGGGGATATAAGATATATTTATATTGAGAAGATAAATATGCTATCCTTGTTTAGAATGTTATACCCCAAGCTTAGAAATCCTAAGTAAAGTGTGTTCACCCACTTCCAGGAAAAGGGTCAGGCCCCTCTGCCTGGTGACCTTATCCAGGCCCTGAACTCAGCTCGGATCTGTAAAAGGGATGAGTCTAGACTGGTTGGCATCTCTAATTTCCTTCACTTTTTTTTCACTGAAGATGTTTCATGAAGATAATTTGGAAGTAACTGAGGAGCTTGTCAAAAAATACCCTTGTGCCTTTCTTGCCTGGATCGGGCCCTTTGAGACATTTGTCTATATCTATGACCCGGACTATGTAAAGACAATTCTGAACCAAACAGGTAAGAAAAGAAATGAATCTCGGGAACCTCATCCTCCTTGAGTGATATGCACAAACCACAGGCAGGATTCTGGAGTTCTGAAGCAAAGATTAGTATTGGGCTTTTAAGAGACACTGGAGGAAGTGTGAGGAAGTTTCCCACCAATCCTGAAGGGAATTCCCACATCCCCCAGTCCCTGTCTAGTTCAGACCCCCATGGGTCCTTTTAGGTCACTGTATATCTTAAAGCCCAGCAGGCACCACCAGATCACCACAGGCTTTTTTTGTCTCTTTTGGTTTTGTGACTTCAGTGTCAGCAATACTCCCCAGTCCTGGCCCCTTGCTCGAGCATGTCTTCAGAGGGACTCAGGTTCAGTATGTGGACCTGAATGCCAGATCACTGCTTTATTTAGTCTAACCTCTTCACTGTGGTCTAAATTTTGTTTTTGTTTTTGGTATATCTCTCAACTGTGTCCTTTTTGGAACATGAGTCCTCTGACTCCTCCATCCAATTCTTTTTCAAGGCATTCATGGTACATTATCTCATAGCCAAAATTAAAATGTCCAGTTTTTGCTGCATTAACTTTGTAAATCAAGGCCTGATATTCCCATCTTTCTTCCCTGTGTCATTGTCTCCATTACTCTTAGCAAAATCTAATAAAAGAAAACAGCCTTTTCTATGTTTCCCATTTCCTCAGTTCTCTCGGGTTGGTCTCATGTTCACTTCTTAAAGGACCCCTACACCTTCCAAAGGCTGCAAGGAATGAGCCCTGGGCTCCCTTTTGCTGACTATTTGTGGTTAATGTGGGCAAACAAGAGAACCTTCACCAACTTTGATAATTTTCCTCTAATGCTGTCTTTTGTTTCCTCTGTTTGACTCTGCAGATCCCAAGTCCAGGTTCTTGTACAAGTTCTTGATTCCACTAATCGGTATGTATGTGACCCACTCTCTTGCTAGAAGTCCCCTTTCTATAATAGAGCATTCCAAAGACACTCAAATCGGAATTCAGAAGCATTAAGGGTATGGTGGAGCTACACTGAAGTTATCAAGGGTGGAGGTCAAGAGGGAGTGCTAAGGTCAACATAACACAACTTCCTAAGAACCCTCCTTGTCCATTTCTGTCCCCAAAATCTCATTCTTAAGGCAGCATATGTGTATCTGTCCCATCTCTGTCTTGAAAATTGCAGCCTCACCATCTGTACTCCTTATGTTATCCTTTCTTCTCTCTTGTTTTCTTGGCTCCTTCCCTTTCTTTTTGGAGTTCTTCTATTTCCGTATGCAAATCAGTAAAATTTTGCTTCAGAGTACAGTTTGGAAATATCCCATGAGCACATAAATTAAGCCTTTTAGTCATGTAATTGGTATTTATGTTAGACAAGAAAGGAATTAAATGAAAAAATATAGGTTTTGGATTTAGAGCTACTTGGATTTGAATACTGCCCCCCATTGACTAGTTGAGTGTGGTCTTAGGGAAGTCAATTAACCTCTCTAAGCCTGTGTTTCCTCATTTGACAATGAGGAAGAGAGTTACATCTCCAGACTGTTGTGAGGATTAAATAAAACATGTATTTTCAGCACTGAGTGCAATGCCTGGCACTGTACCAATGCCCGACCATGCATTGCAAGCCTGGTGTGTTGTAAGCTCTCAATGAATGATGGCAATTATATATTAATAAGCTTTAAGTTTCTTTTAAAGCCAAATCTTTAATGACCTTGCTGGTAACAGAAGATTGTGAGGCATTAGCCTTGATTAGTGTTTTCAGCTTGTATCATTTATGGGTATGAAACACAGACAAGAGCTCAAGGAGAAGATATCTGGGGAGATAGTGAACACTTTTGTCCAGTTCCTTATGAAGTTTTTGTTCACAGTATAGTTTATGGGTTGGTTTGAAGTGAGAGATGATGACTATTTGCTGTGTTTCTACTGTCAGCTAGAGACCAGGCCAGGTGCCTTATATGTACACCTTCATTTAATCTGCACAGCAACACAGTGAAGTAGATATTTATTATCAAACTTGATCACTGAGAAAGCCAAGCCAAGGAAGATTAAGTGATTTACTCAATTATTACACAGGTAGTAACTGATGATTTCAGGATGAGCACTCTCATTAGGCTTCATAAAGTGGGGTTTTTTTTCTGACAATGCTAAATACATGCATCCCAGATGCAAACAAACTCACCTCGATCTTAATATATGAGCACTGCTTTGATATTGCATTCTGTCATGTCTGTGCACCATTGTCACTTCATGGTGTCTGTTCCTCACCTCTTCTTCATCATCTCTTCTAATAAAATGCTTTTGTGCCTTTTATGTCTCAAGGAAAAGGACTACTGAATCTAAACGGATCCAAGTGGTTCCAGCACCGGCGCATAATAACTCCTCTATTCCATTTTAACACCCTGAAAGCCTACGTCAGCATAATGGCCCAGTCTGTGAACATAATGCTGGTAGGGATAAAAGTATTCTGATGTATTGCAAAATCCTTCCAACAGGGAATGGGTTAGACATATGTTTAGTGGGCAGTGAAAGTCAAAGGGGGATGATTTCTAGAAATTAACCAATTACTAAGCAATAGGTGTCTATGTAAGACTTTGCTATGTTTTTGGGGGTGATTTATAAAAGATGATGATCCAGTTGAGATCCTATGGCAGTAGTAAATGGTAAATGCTGTAGGTGACAGGTAAGGAAACCTGGAGTAGCTATAATTGCTTCAGATTCAGAGGAGACTCAAATTCATCATGAAATATGAGCTGGACTTGAATATGTGAATAATGGATGAGGGAATTTAGGCAGAGTGAGTTAGCATGAACAAAAGTTTGGAGATTGGGATGGACTTGCCTGATGGCCATAAATGACCTGGCAGATGATAAGGGTCTCCATTAAAGTTGCAGATGTGAGTGTTCTCTTGCAGATAACAGAGGATCATTAGGAGCTGACCTGCACCCTTCCAAAAGGGCCATCCCTGATTTATAAATGAGTTCTATTCCAAAACTCCACTTGTGCATGATGAAATTTTAAATTGTACTTCTTTAAAAATTAGACCAGTAATGCACTGAAAGAGTTTCATCATAAACACTTGCAACACCACAAACAAAGCCCAAGTTTTCTCCCACTTTCACCTGCAAGCCTATCCCTTTCCGCAAGAGGGAAGCACTGATTGGCTGGCTTCTCAGCCAAGCTCAGAGAGGCGGATTTAACCTCAAGCCTGCTGAGACTGTGGTGAAAGTAAGTACCAGTGTGAGCAGTCAAGGCAGAGAGCTTGAGGTGCAGGCTAGAGTGGAAGAGGGCGTGCTCTTCGGATTCTGGTGCTGCATATCAGCCAGCGGTGGTATTTGAATTTACCCCCATTTCAATAAATTGTTTCTGTCTCCCTCACCTCTTAGGCCCACATTTCCCTGAGATTCCTCTCACAGCTTTTCCCTCTGCTGAATTGTGCCAAAGCGCCTCCAGTACTGAGCTTCCCCTTCGGCTCTCATTTCTTCTACACTCACTTCTGTACTCAGTAAAACTTAAATAACTCAGGGTGAAAGCAATTGATGAAACAGTTGACACTTAGGTAAAAGCTTGAAAAACAACATCTCTTTGCCTTTTTTTGGTGTGGCCTCCAAATCCTTAGCACCTGGTTATAGGCATAGGCGCTCAGTAAATGTCAGTTGATCTGAACTTAAACATTAAGATTTATTTGTATTTTTACTTTTAATGTTCCAAGTTTATTTTAAGTGTGATTATGGTGGTTGAAAGTAGTGATGGGGTGGAGTGTCTAATAGTTTGGGGACTGAAGATAGAGGAAACCCTGGGGAGACTCCTTGTAATTGTGGGTCTTATATCGGAGATTATCTGTTTTACTGGAACTCTGATCTGTTTTTAAAGCAGTTGTGGTAATAATTGAATGGCCAATGATACTTAACTCAGCCATTTACGGGATACTTGGTTGGCTCCATGCTCTTTCTCACCCAGCGGGATGCATTTTTTTCCCCTTCCTGATGCCAAGTAAACGTTTAGCTTATTTGCTTGTATGAATTTTGGCTCCTGCTAGGTCAGGGTTGTCTCCCTTACATCATAAGGGCGGGGCCAGTTAAAGGCACTTGGATGGTGATGTTGATCTTGACTTCCTGTGCCAGGATAAATGGGAGGAGATTTGCGGCACTCAGGATACCAGTATGGAGGTCTTTGAGGACATCAGCTTGATGTGCCTGGACACACTCATGAAATGTACTTTCAGCCAGGAGACCAACTGCCAGAGAAGTAGGTTAGTGACAGGAGGGCAAAAAAGACATTTGTTTGCCATTATCTGAGTCACTTATTGACATAGTATCCTTTCTCCCTAGAGCCCATCATTTTTATGTTAAAGGGCTAACTGAAGCCGGCGAAATCATCTTTAATCGCCTATACCATTTCCTTTATCACTATGACATAATTTTCAAGTTCAGCCCTGAGAACCAGCGCTTACAGAAGCTAGTTGGCTTAACACGGAAGTACACAGGTATTTTTGGGTTTGGGTTGCCCGAGTGCATACATTGTCACAACTGTACTGTGTCTGTGTCGAGGAGTAGGCCTCAGTGTGAAAAGAGAAAGAATTTGTGTTCTCAACGGAGCTTTAAATGGACACTGCTCAAATAAATGCAAGTCCTTTAGAAGAGTTTGCTACATCCATAGCAGTGATCTTGTGGGAAGTTTTCAATGTATTATATAATTTTTAATATGCACAATTTTTATTAATACAAATATAACAAGTGGGGACTTAATATTTCAAAGCATAAGTGGCATTTGTCTATTTGCGCCATGATTGCAGTAATAATGACAAGCGAAAATAGTCATGCAGCCTAGGAATGAACAGGGGAACAGGGCAAACGCAGAAGGACATTCAAGAAGGGGGAAATGGGGAGTGCCCGTGGGTATGAAGTTTTAGTGATGGAAGAGGAATACGTTCCAGAGGGCTGCTCTACAGCATAGGGCCTGTAATTAACTATATTGTATTGTGCACTTAAAAATGTGTTAAGCGGTTACATCTCTGGTTAAGCATTCTTACTAGAATAAAAAAAAAAAAAATTAAAAAAAAAAGGTGGGAAAAAAAAAAGATTGTTTCAAAATTAATAGTTTTAACAAAACATAAATATAAAAGTTGAAATAGATTAAACTTTCTAAGCAATTCAACATTTCTTTTAATGAACATAACAATAGACAATGTTTATCAAGCAGTCAATTATTCCTGGTTTAGCTCCACCAATTACTAGCAGTGTGACTTTGGGCAAGTTACTTTCTACTTTCTCTGTTTCATCTATAAAATGGGGGTAAAAAAGGATCTAACTCATAGGTTTGTGGTGATGATGAAATATGTTTATATGTGTAAAGCACTTCAGATGGTTCCTGGAACTGAATCAGTGTTAAATATAAAGTATATTTGCCCCTAGGAAATTTGCAAGATACACCTGCACATCCACAGTCACACACATATATTCACACATGAACATAGCTATTGTTAGGAGGACACTCATATAAGCAGATTAGAAACAACTTAACACACAAATAGGCATGATGCATAGCAGTTCTCAAACCTGTTCCCATCATGGCGCACACAGAAAATGTTAATATTTATATGCTTCATTGGAGTAAATAGAAATGGATTTTGTGGCATCTACATAGGACTTGGTGAAAAATTTCTTTACATTTTCTTTATATTAATTATGATTTTAAAAAACAATGCAAAGTATTAAGGAAAAGATTAAATGTTAAATTTAAAATTTATTTCAATTACAGTTGACATTCAATATTATATTAGTTTCAAGTATACAGCATAGTATACACATTTATATAACTTACAAAGTAATCTCCCCAATAAATCTAGTACCCATATGATACCATACATAGTATTACAGTATTATTGACTGTATTCCCTATGCTCTACTTTACATCCCCTTGACTATTTTGTAACTATCATTTTGTAATTCTTAATCCCTTTACTTTGTTCATCCATTCCCCTCCCCCTCCCATCTGGCAACCATCAAAATGTTCTCTGTATCTATGAGTCTATTCCGTTCTGCTTGTTCGTTTATTTTGTGTTTTAGATTGCATGTAGAAGTGAAATCAGTGATATTTGTCTTTCTCTGTCTGACTTATTTCTCTTAGCATGATATCCTCCAGGTCCATCCATCTTGTCATGAAATGGTGAGATTTCATTCTTTTTTATGGCCAAGTAATATTCCATTTTATATATGTACTACCTCTTTTTATCCAAATGTCCATAGATGGGACACTTAGGTTGCTTCCAAACCTTGGCTATAGTAAATAATGCTGCAATGAACATAGGGGTGCATATATCTTTTCAGATTAGTATTTTGGATTTCTTTGAATAAATACCCAGAAGTGGAAATTCTGGGCCATATGGTGGTTCTATTTTTTATTTTTTGAAGAACCTCCATTCTGTTCTCCATAGTGGCTGCGTCAATTTGCATTCCCACCAATGGGACACAAGGGTTCACTTTCCTCCACATCCTTGCCAACACTTGTTTGTTCATTTATTGATGTTGGCCATTCTGACAGGTGTGAGGTGATATCTCATTGTGATTTTAATTTGTATTTTTATGATGATTAGTGGCATTTAGCATCTTTTTATATGTCTATTGACCATCTGTATGTCTTCTTTGGAGAAATGTCCATTCAGGCCCTTTGCTTATTTTTCAGTTGGGTTGTTTGTTTTTTCATGTTGAGTTGTATAAGTTCTTTATAAATTTTAGATAATAATCCTTTATCAGGTGTATCATTGGCAAATATCTTCTTACATTCATTAAGTTGTTTTTTCATTTCATTGATGGTTTCCTTTGCTGTGTAAAAACTTTTTAGTTTGATGTAGTCCCATTTGTTTTTCTTTTGTTTCTTTTGACTAAGAGATCAATCAGAAAAAACTAACACTAAGAGCAATGTCAGAGAGTTTACTGCGTATGTTTTCTCCTAGTCAATAATATAACTATGGCCTTGTAGTATAGTTTGATATCAGGTAGTGTGATACCTCCAACTTTATTCTTTCTCAAAATTGCTGTGACTATTTGGGGTCTTTTGTGGTTCCATATAAATTTTTGGATTATTTGTTCTAGTTTTGGGTAGTATGGACATTTTAACAATGTTAATTCTTCCTATCCATGAGCACAGTATATGCTCCCATTTATTTGTATCTTCTTCAATTTATTTCTTCAATGTTTTATAATTTTCTGAGTACAGGTATTTTTACCTCCTTGGTTAAATTTATCCCTAGGTGTGTGTGTGTTTTGATGCAGTTTTAAATGGGATTGTTTTCTTAATTACTCTTTCTGATAGTTCATTATTGATTATAAAAATGCAACCAATTTTTGAATATTAATTTTTTATCCTGTTACCTTACTAAATTCATGTATCAGTTCTAATAGGGTTTTTTTGGTGGGCTCTTTAGGATTTTCTATGTATGGTATCATGTCATCTGCAAATAATGACAGTTTTACTTCTTCCTTTCCGATTTGGATGCCTCTTATTTCTTTTTCTTGTTTGATTGCTGTAGCTAGGACTTCCAATACTATGCTGAATGGATGTGGTGAAAGTGGACATTCTTTTCTTGTTTCTGATTTTAAGGAAATGCTTTTAGCTTTTCACTGTTGAGTATGATGTTAGCTTTAGGTTTGTGATATATGGCCTTCATTGTGTTAAGGTATGTTTCCTCTATTCCTCCTTTGCTAGAGTTATCATAAATGGATGCTGAATTTTGTCAAATGCTTCTTCTGTATCTATTGATATGATCATATGATTTTCATCTTTCATTTTGTTTATGTGGTGTATGACATCAATTGATTTGTGGATGTTGAACTGACCTTGTATCTCAGGAATAAATCCCACTTGATCATGATGTATGACCTGTTTAATGTATTGCTGAATTCATTTTGCTAATAGTTTTGTTGAGGATTTATGCATCATGTTCGTTTGGGGATATCGGCCTATAATTTTCTCTTTTGTAAAGTCTTTGTCTGTTTTTCTTTTTTTTTTCCTTTGTCTTTAGATTCAGGGTAATGCTGGCCTTGTTAAATGAGCTTGGGAGCCTTCCCTTCTCTTCAGTTGTTTGGAATAGTTTGAGAAAGATAGGTGTTAGTTCTTTGAAAGTTTGGTAAAATTCACCTGTGAAGTGTAATGCACTCTAGGTCCATCCGTGCTGTTCCAGTGGGTAAAATTTCCTTCTTTTCTCATAGCTGAGTGGCATTCCATTGTGCAAATGTACCACAGCTTATTTATCCACTCATCTACTGATGAACACTTTGTTGCTCTGCTTGGGTGTTTTCTGTTAGTGTGTCCTCTAAATCGCTCATTTCTTTTTCTTTTATTACTTCATTTTTATTGTTGACACTATTATCCTCTGCTTCATCTAACCTGCTCTTGATTCTTTCTAGTGTATTCTTCATTTCAAATATTGTAGTCTTCATTTCTGAATAGTTATTTTTGTGGTGTCTATGCCCTTTTAAATGCTTACTATCTCTTTAAGCTCTCACTAAGATCCTTGATTCTTCTAAGTTCCTTGAGCACCTTGTAACCATTGTTTTGAACTCTGCATTTGGTAGCTTAGCAGCCTCTATTTCATTTCATTCTTTTTCTGGGGATTTCTCTTGTTCTTTCATTTGGGGCATGTTTCTTTGTCTCCCCATTTTTGTCTGCCTTTTTGTGTTTGTCTCTGTGTATTAGGTAGATCTGCTGTGTCTCCCAGTCTTGTTATTGTGATCTTATGTAGTAGGTGTCTTGTGGGGCTCAATGGTGCATGCTCCTTGATCACCTCATCTACGTGCTCCAGGAATGTCTCTTGTATGGGTTATGTGAGTCCTCCTGTTATAGTTGAGTCTTGGATGCTGTTGGCCCATCTGTGTTTCTCCCAATTCTTGAGTACCACGTGTGGGTGTGGAATGAGCTCGTTTCGAATCTCCACCCCTCCTATTAGTCTCAACGTGGCTTCTTCTTTATGCCCTTGATTATAGGAGTTCTATTCAACTAGTGTTCAGGTGGTTCTCAAAAGTGGTGGTTCTATAATTTAGTTGTAATTTTGAGGTAATCATGGGAAGAGGCAAGCACAGCATTTACTTACTCTGTCATCTTGACTGGAGACCTCAGTCTTGGGAGGTTTGATGAAAAATTGTAATTTGATAGGAAAATAAATGTCTGCAAAATGAAATCTGTCTAAATAGGTATACCCACTCTGACCTCAAGAAATTAGGCAAGATTTGAAGTTATCTATGGCCATGGCTTGTTCTATAATTTATTTTACTTTGATTTACTTTATGGTCGCTTTAGTAATGGGAAATTATTATTCTACCACAGAGGAGATAATCCAAAAGAGAAGGAAAGCCATCAAGGATGACAAGGAACATGGTAAAACTGAGAAGAGGAAGTACCGGGATTTTCTGGATATTCTCCTTTCTTCCCAGGTAAATCTTTCATATTTCTGAGCCTGCTCATATATCTAGTTAATTGTGTGGGTAGGTGGATGAGTGGGAGGAGAGGAGACAAAAGCACAATTGATCAACTAAATTTAACAATACTTTTGAATCAATGGGTTAGCTCCGTACAATTTGAGGTAAAGACAGAATTCTGCAACTTTGCCACTAGAGGAAGTCAGATAAAACTAAAATTTTTACTGACTTGATGAGATTTGGTTACTATCATAGAGCTACATGATAGTTCAGGAAAACGAGAAAATGGGTCACAGTAAGCTGATAAAATGTTGATGATGAGGTGCTGGAGAATCTGGATAAATCTGGCAGGATGATTGGAGGAACACTTTGCAAGGCCTGCTTTCCTTATCTAACATTGGTCCTCCTTTATGCTTTGGGTAAAGTATGACTCATAGTATATATTTGTTGAACTGAATTAAAATTGAAACTCACATTAGAAATGCTAATTTTTTTCCTTAAAGCCATTATTTTGATCAAGGCTCCAAACATCTATAAACTGAAATTGTATAAAAATATCTCTATTGTACTTTCTAGGCTGAAAATGGCAACAGCTTCTCAGATACTGACCTGTTTTCCGAGGTGAACACATTCATGGTGGCAGGGCAAGACACTATCGGAGGGAGCCTTTCCTGGCTCCTCTACCACTTGGCTCAGAACCCTGAGCATCAGGAGAAATGCCGGGAGGAGATCAGGGGCATCGTGGGGGACGGGTCTTCCATCACCTGGTAAGATCTACATCCCTATACTATTCATCCTAGTTTTCTTCCTGGGATTTTGCTTTAATATTTCTTCTTCTTTCACCTTGGTAACTAGTGCCTCAAAAGATGTGCATGTGGATAGGCTGCTCTTTCTCTAGAAGGCCCAAAGTTACCCCCTTGTCTTTTGCAAAAGAGGTTCACGCATCCATGAGTTATTTTTTTCCATTGTTTTTCTAACCAGTAGTGTGTAAAATGCCTTCTTTCTTTCTTTCACCCAGTTTCTGGTGCATTGCAAATGGGGACTCAATCCATAGACTTGTATTTAGAACGTGTGCAGTAGGGCGCAAGTGGGGCTTCTCTTCTGAGAGACCTGAGCGAGCATCTGCATCATTTCAGTCTCATGGAATACATTCTCTCCCATCTCCTTGTTTACTCCTCAGGATTGGCTTTGGACTTTGAACGTAGTACTAAATGATGAGTTGAGTTTAGCAAATGTGGACTGAAGACATTTTAAGTACTGAGGCACTAAAACTACATGCAAGATTTGGTGTGGGTCCTATCCTCAATGAGCTCACACCCTACTACAGGAGATGCTCCCCATATAGATAATTGCAGAATAGCATGATAAGGGTGAGAGATAGGTGTTGGTAACCTCAGAGACTTAGAAGACAGGTGCCTAAGCTGGTGTAGGGGTCTCAAGAAGACTTCCTGGGAGATTTGATGATCAAGGTACCTCTTATAGAATGGGTAGGAGTTAGCCAGGTGAGAAGCTTCAACTTCATTTTGCTAGACCTTGAGCAGATCTTGCTGTTAATGAAGCTCAGGTTGTGAATTTTCCCCTTAATCATGCTATTTGCAAAGAACACACATGTCCCTGATATAAGCCACAGTCTTCATCCTAGGTAGATGTTTCACATATCATTGTTTTGCTGGTCAGAAGGGCTGAAAGATAGAAATGCTAAGGGCAATGCAGCCCCATGCTCAGGGGGAAAACATCATATTTCAAATGCAAAAGTCTACTCAACTAGAACATTTGTAAAGGAAAGTTTGAATTTATATGGGTGTAGTAGAGATATCACTTTTTATAAGAAATAATAGTCATTTCCTACTATAAATTAAAGGTCTGATCTATATAGCACAAAATGCAATGTTGATCAGTCATTTTTAATTCATTCATTGAATTTGGAAACACTGTGTACTGTCTCCCAACAGTAATTAGATATTGTAGCCTCGATTATGGTGCATATATATATACAACTCAAATAATTATCTTTCTCATTCTTATTTGGTTTATGTAAAATGTGAAAACAAAGAAATATTTGCCAGGTGAGAAAACAAGGTTCAGAGGATCTTTTTACTACCATTTATTTTTATGAGAGTAATGGCAATAATATTGTAGGGAATAAATGTTTTTATTCTATAATATGGTCTTATAGTTATACTTAATGAAATTTATACATAGCCTTCTGAGAATTGATAATTCCTTTAGACGGGTAATAAAACCACACTGCAAAAAGCAGTTTCTGGCCTGGCCGGTGTGGCTCAGCAGTTGAGCATCGACTTATGAATCAGGAGGCCACAGTTCAATTCCTGGTCAGGGTACATGCCAGGGCTGTGGGCTCGATCTCCAGTAGGGGGTGTGCAGGAGGCAGCCAATCAATGACTCTCATCATTGATGTTTCTCTCTCTCTCCCTCTCCCTTCTTCTCTCTGAAATCAATAAAAAACATTTTTTTTTTTTTTTTTAAAAAAAGCAGTTTCTGGAAAAGCTAAAAAAATTGTTCAATGTCTTCGTCTGGCTCCTTATCAGCCCACTTCTGCTTTGGGTTACTGTTCCTCTCTTCTTTTTGCACCAGGGCTGAGATGGACAAGATTGTTTTTCTTAAACATGCAAGACTAAGTTCCAGACTAAGCACATGACTCTTTATTCTGGGCTCAAGGAGGAAAAAGTTTAAAATTAAAATTTCACATTACTGAAACGCCAAAGCCTGCATTCAGAATAAGTAATCAGAAAAGCAAATAGAAATACAATAAAGCGAATAGGCTAAATACTACATTCAATCATTTTATTGAACCGACCTAACTAGCCAGGGTGCAAATTAAAGACTTCATTCTTCTGCCAATGCTTCAAACTTGCTGTGTGGGAAAGGGTCTTCTGGTGTGAAATCGAGAGTGAATCTTACATATTCCATTTGATTTCAGCCACAAGAGTAGTCTCTTCCCAGTAATTAAGTTGATCCAGTGGAATATTGAAAACTTCAATTTCCTATCCACTCGGAACATCTCCCTCTATCCCAGCTCAGTACTTGCTCGGGTCTGGAAGCCAGTGGTGGCACAGGGCTTATGGCTGGCTTCCCCTTATTGACCAGCGCCTCCCCTCCCCTACTTCTGGCCCTTCCCAAAGTGGCCCCAGGAGGGAGAGAGGATGAGGGAGAGCGGCTGGTGCTATGGTGAGCTCACCCTCTGAGCTCGGCAGTGGTGATTCACGGGCGAGGGAAGTCTTGCCCTTCGAGTCCCCTTCAGGCTGGGTCCAGAGCTCTCCCTCTAGCCAGTTCATTGGCCCGGAGGACACATGGGAGTGTTCTTGGTTTGTCCCTGTTGCTCCCCCATGCCTCTCTGTGTGTCTGTTCAGCGTCATGGCTTTTCTATCAGCCCTGTGCTCCCCAAACTCCAAGGAACACTTGTCAGATCACCGAACTGGTGCCCCGCTCTGCTTAAGATGGGAGGGAACCCAGTCCTCCGTTCTCCACGGCGCTCTGCCATTCCTACAGTTCTCTTTAAAGGATTGTTTCTTTCTATCAAAACTCTTAAGCCTCCTCTCTTCAATCCTTAGCCATTCCTTATACATTCTTAATTTGTTTAATGAGCTAAGGGTTGCAAAACTGGTTTTCAGAACTCTCCTTAGCAAATTTTTTACCAGAACTTCAGCACCTCACTTTATAATCAGGATATTTGGCACCTGTTTGGTTCTTCCTCTGGGAAGGAATTCCATTTAAAAATTCTATCACATAACCAATTGGGAAAAGAGCTTTAACCGGAGGATAATATTTATCAGGAACAAACATCAAGTTAAAAAAAATCAATATTTACAACCTGGAGACCTAGCCAGTTTGGCTCAGTGGTTAAAGCATCGACCTGTGGACTGAAGGGTCCTGGGTTCGATTTTGGCCAAGGGCACGTACCTTGGTTGCAGGCCGAGCCCTGGTCAGGGCACCTGCTGGAGGCAACCAATTGATGTGTCTTGCTCACATCGATGTTTCTCTCTCTCTCCCTTCCACTCTGAAAAGCAATGGAAAAATATCCTCAGGTTAGGGTTAGGAGAAGAGAAGAGTAAATAATATTTACAAACTGTATATGGAGTCTGAGCTCCTTTCCCTCCTTCCCTTGTGTTCACAGGGACCAGCTGGGTGAGATGTCTTACACCAAAATGTGTATCAAGGAGTCTCTCCGATTGTTCCCTACGGTCCAGGCCATTTCCAAAGAACTCAGCAAGCGCACTACCTTCCCAGATGGACGCTCCTTGCCTGCAGGTCTTTGCACTCTTTTCTTAAGCAGTTCTTAGAGTCTGTGGATCCTAGGGACCACAGTAAAAGACCCGTGGGTTTCTCACCTCTTGGAGAAATCAAAAGACAATCCTAAAGACACCTAGCTTAAGGTTGTGCACCTATTAAGTAAAAGCTCAGTGGACATTGGCTTGATCAGATGTGGGTGTTAGCAACTTTCCCAAAGGCACATAACCATTTGCAGCAAAACTATGCCCAGTAACTGCATCACCAGAATCCAAGCCCAGAGTGTTTTCCATAGTGGGACATTGTTTTTAAGATATTTCTTGTTTGGCTGAGTTTGAGACCCAAGTGAGATTTCATGGGAGATGAACACCAGTGTCTTCACCCTAACAAGTGGGCAGCGCATATTATCTTACATAGAGCCTTCAAGCATTTTATGTCATTTTCCCTTTGGAACATGATCTTAGCAAACACTTATACAGTGCTTTGCAGTTTCAAATACTTTTGGTGTTGCCAAAAGCCTGCTGGCAGACCCTAGTGTGCAGTGAGCAGAGTTAGAAGCCACCCAGAGGTCCCGAACCCAGATCCCAGGGCTCTGCAGAACAGCAGAGGTGGGAGGCAGAGGGGCCACATGAGACACCCTTCACAGAGCTGCTTCATTGCACTTGCATTCTTGCCCTTGGAAACAAGCTGACAGACTGTCACTTACTGTGACATTGTCGACAGATCAAGAATTAATGAACCAGAATTATTTCTGGTAACCAAATAAACCTAAATTCTCTGTCCTCTCTCTTTTTTTAAATCCCCAAACTACCTGGGTGTTTGCCGAAATTCCCCTGCATAGGAACAGCATCCGCAGAAACTTGTCATTGGATTTGCATGATGGAATCACGGTTCTGTTCTTATGTCCCCAAACTGTTCCCAGTGGGTGCATTATAGTCCATCGATAGATATACAGTAGTCCCTCCTTATGCATGGTTTCATTTCCCCTGGGTCAGTTACCTGCAAGCCTCTGGGGTCTGAAACAGGAGTAGTGATGCCAGCAATGGAGACAGGCCAAAGAGAAGCCATAAGTGCTTTTTTAAAAAGAAAAGGTGAAAGTTCTCATATGCTGAGTTTTCCATGACCTATGGTAAAAAACAAATCTTCTATTTGTAAAATTGTGAAGAAGGAAAAAGAAATTGGTGCTAGTTTTTCTGTTGTACCTCAAACTGCAAAAGTTAGGGTCACAGTGCGTGTTAAGTGCTTAGTTAAGATGGAAAAGGCATTAAATTTGTGGGTGAAAGAAACAAACAGAAAACATGTTCTGATTGATGGCAACGTGGTGTGCCAGAAAGCATATACGGAGACTTTGGCAATGAGTTGTCCCCCAGAATGAGTGACACCCAGCCATGTGCTGAAAGTAAAGGATGGTTACACAGATTCAGGAATAGGTTTGGCATTTTATCATCTCACATCATCATAAGAAGTGTGAGTACAGTGCAATAAGATATTTTGAGAGAGACTGCATTCACATAACTTTTATTACAGTATAATTGTCCTATTTTATCATTAGTTGTTTTTTATTTATAAATTACACTTCATATATTACATACATTACATAGGTATGTATGTGTGTAAAATCATAATATATATAGGGTTTGGAACCATCTGCAGTTTCAGAGTTTCACTGGGAGTTTTGGAGCATGTCCCTGTGAATATGGAGGGACTACAGCATAAGTGATTTCCAGAAGTAGCAGGAAACATAAGCATGTTTGGACATGATATCAATAGCTCTTTAAGACAGAATCATGTATTAAGTAGATCATTGCTTTGAAAACTAAGGTGCCACCAAGCTTCATCTTCCCATGGGTCCTTCACTGCTGGCATCAGCCACCGCACCCAGAGCTCTGCCCGGAGCTAGCTCTTGCCCTTCTAGAAGATAAGTCTTACTGAAGAGTGGGACAGCAGTAGCCCACTGCTTGCTCTTTCTCCTGCAACTTGTTTTATCTCCTTTCTTTCTCAGGCACAACCGTAGTTGTCAGTATTTGGGGTCTTCACCGCAACCCTGCTGTCTGGGAAAACCCCAAGGTATGACTGCCTTACATGTAAATACTTCCAAAGAACTTGTGGTACGCAATTCACCTTCTGTTAGCTCTGCATGGAAGAGGCAAATGATACAGCAAACAAAAATAAACATAAAAACCAAAAATGTAAAACTTTTCCACTAAAGGAAAATTGCCCTTTCCCTCTACTCCTACTTTGTCTTTGCTTTGGATGAACGAATTGGCATAACGTCTGCTGCTCTAAATTGACACAGCCATTTACTTAGCAGGTTTTACCAAGCCCTGACCTAGATATCTGCCAGAGTATAGATGGTCAATAGTAACTCAGATAACTCAAACTCCCTTTCCCTAGATATAACAATCAGGATTCTGGCAGGAAATCAACAATTCACTCCAGTTGGGTAATTTGAGGAGAGTTTTATGAAGAACTATTGATAAAGGTATGGGTTAGGGTTTAGAAAAAACAAAAGGGAGGAAATAATTGCCAAAGGGCTTACCACTTCCCAGCCTGATGATACACGGGAGAGAGGGTTACAAACCTGGAGACAGAGAACTCCCGGGAAAGGCCATCAGAGAGGAGCGTGGCTGTTAGTAGAGCATGCAGCCCACCTTAGACAGCCTGGTAGGGAGGAGCCCAGGGAATAAATACCCAGAATGCTCTCTCCTCCCAGCCTCCAGATCTCCTATCAATGCCTTTTCTTGGCAAAACCCAATAGGACAACATGCAGGTTAGCTTCTTAGAGCCCAGAGCAGGAAGGAGAGAGGATCTGGAGAGGCAAAAAGATGTGTAACATACCTGAGTTTCTTGATTCAATGCTCTCAAAACTTTAAACACAGCATGTATGTGTGGTTCCTTTTACAAAAGCTGCTAGGATTAAAGATCGGTTACATGTAATGGGAAGTGGGATTGCATATCCCAGTGACAATGATCACGTGATTGTTTTGACTTGACTTCTGAGTAGGTACTCTTTTACCTCCAAAGTGACAATCATAACACTGGCTGTAGTATTTCTGCTTTCCCCTTACTTAGTCTGAGTAGCACACTAGTCAATTGGGAAGCCAGTCAAGGTCACAAGTCTAGAGTTGCACTGTCCAGGGTGGTAGCCATTAGCACATGTGGTTGTTGAGGACTTGAAATGTGGTTAGTCAAAACTGACGTGCTGGGAAAAATTCACACTGGAATTTGAACATGTACTAAAAAATGTGAAATATTTCCTTAATAATTATTTATATTGGGTAGATGTTGGGATGATAATATTTTCTGTTAAATAAATTCTACTATTAAAATTCATTTTACCCTTTTAAAATGTGACTATTAGAACATTTGAAATATATTTCTGTTCATCAGTTGCTAAGTAGTAGCTTAAGAAATGTGTTCATAGTGTTGGGTGGTGCCCTCTCATTTCAGGTCTTTGACCCCTTGAGGTTCTCTCCGGAGAATTTTAATAAGAAACACACCTACTCCTACATACCATTCTCAGCTGGACCAAGGTGAGGACAACTTGAAGCTGTTGAAAACATACAAAAAGGTTTACGTGGGGACAGAGTTTTTCCTTTAGCCCCTCAATTATATAAATTCTTCCATGGAACCCCATTGTCTCACCTGAGCGTGAGGAAGTCTTGGTGCCCAGTTGGGCCTCTGAGAGGGCAGTTAGTTTTGCAAGGGACAGCTCCCCTCTCTATCACATCCTATATAGCCATGCCTCAGAAAGCTAGCCCATGACGCAAGCTGTTGCTCAGAGGCTCCGTGCAGTCTACCCTCAATGCAGGTGGGCTACATTTATTTTTTTTTCTAAAAATAGAAAAAGATTTTTTAAAATTTTCAGCCTTACTGAGGTATAATTGACATATAAAATTATAAGATATTTAAAGTGTACATCGTGATGATTTCATATACATATACATTGTGAAAAGATTCCTCCCCATCCAGTTAATTAACACATCCTTCACCTCCCATATTTATTTCTGTGTGTGTGTATATGTGGAATATGTACCACTATATCATTGTAACTTACTCTCTTAGCACATTACAGTTATGCAATACAGTGTTATCAACTACAGTCACTAAACTTTCCATCAGATCCTCACAGGGGAATGAATTTTCTGAGCAACTCCAGCGCCACCTTGTTTAGGGAGGGCTCACACTGGGGCCGCCCAGCTCACATTCTTGTGGGAGACCATGTAAACCCAAGTAGAAAAGTTTGTATGGCATTTAGAATGAAAATGTTGCTTTACTGAGAACATCAGACTTCCTATTCTGGCATCTTTTTGAAGAGTCAGGAGAAACACATCTGTTCAAGTATCTCTGATTTTCTCTCGTGTCTACAGGAACTGCATCGGGCAGCACTTTGCCATGACTGAACTGAAGGTGGCCATTGCCCTGATTCTGCTCCGCTTCAAGATTAGTCTAGACCCCACCAAGCCTCTTTCCCTTGTACCCAAGGTTCTCCTCAAACCCAAGAATGGGTTCTACTTGTCTCTGAAAAAAATTTCCTAATGTTAGAGCCCAGGGTACAATGACTATAAAATTGTGTTTTAAAGTTAAATTACTACTAATGATCCAAGAACATGGTGAGGAATCGAAGGATGGTGGAGGAAGGGCTATGGGTAGGTGGGATGGGGGTCTCTGTGGACTGCATATTATCCACAAACACTCCTAGGTGACGTTGTGTGTCACCTAGATCTGTTTCTGTCTGACTTTGGGAGATTTTCAAATCTTTTCTGTTTGATTTTGGCTACTATTAATGCTATATACCAAGGAGTCTGCTAGAACATACATGTTCTGTTGTTTTTTGAAACAGTTTTCAGAATGACACAGTAATAGGTGAATGGATTCTCACAATAAAAGATTCCCAATTATAGAAAAAGCATGTAGAGTAAAAAGTAAAAATTCTGTTTCACATAGCACACCCCTCCCTGCCCTGACCAATCCTGGTGCTTTTTCTAAACACAGAATACTTTGATTTGCATCCTTTCGGACTTTTTCCTGTATCTTTCATATGTACGTATGTACATGTGTATTCTTAGAGATGAGATCATATCCATATTGTTCTTACTTTTTTCCCACTTAATAAAAATACATCTCATTCCCAATCCTGGCTCATGATATTTTGTAGTATGGATGTACCATAATTTATTTAACTATTTTCCTATTACTGGATATTTAACTTCTTTGTAGTTTTAAAACATGCTTATTGGCCATTTGTGTTTATTTTTGTTTTTTCCTCTATGATTTGTGCATCATCTATATTTCTTTTTCTATGGAGCTGTCTTTTCTTATTCATTCACATGAGTTCTTTATATACTGTGGATAATAACCATTGATTGTAACTTTTCTTTGTAATTTTCCCCATTCTTTTCCTTTGTAAAATGGTACTTGTGGTGTCAGTTACCATATAGAACCTCTACATTTTCATGAAGTGAGACAGATAAACTTTTCTTGATGGTTTCTGGAGTTTAAGTCTGGCTAGGAAAGCTTTCATTTGGAACATGATCAAGATAATTTTACATCAAGATAATTTTACATATTCTCCTGGTGCTAACAAGTAATGTGAAACCTTAACAGGAATTTCTTAATGATTTTCAGATTCATCATTCATTTGATGTTTAAGTGCTTACTACATGTCAGATATTTTGATAAGCATTAAAGATTCAGTGGGTTAATAGACATGGGCCCTGTACTCATGGAGCTGGTATTCTAAAGTGGAAGATGGGTAGCAGATAGTTACAAATTGTAGCAAGTGCCATGAAGGAAATGAGTGGGCTGAGCTAGACAGTCAATCAAGGGAACTTACTTGAATTGTATTATCCAGAATACCCTCTTTTAGAAGGTGACATGTAAGTTGAGACCTGAAAGATGGTAATGGAAGCTACCCCTGCTTTTTCTCATGGGCCTCCTAGCAGCAAAATTATGGCCCTTTGAAAGAGCAAGGGTGAAGCCAAGTGTCACTGCTACATGTCTAAGGGGGAGAAATGGACTGGGAAGGAAGGAGTCAATGGTGAGCTCAGTTTTTCACACATTGAATGGGAGGTGCCTGGTAGCCTTCACAGAACAGATGTCTAAGAGGCAATGAAAACCCACGAGAAAGACTTTGGCTGGAGAAGGTGTTACCAAGTCACTGTATAATGCCACACTCAGTGCTGCTGTGAATATTTTGAACAAATATCTTTGTAAACTTGTTCAAATGTTTTGTAAGCTAAATCTTAGGAGATTGAATTTCTGAATTCAAGTTTATGAGGGCCCTCCCCTGAATCTTCAATGTAAGAACATGAAATTATAGGTGTATAGGTTAGACTTCTTTGTGCTCCCAAGGCAGGTCAAGCTTACCCCCTCCTCTCAACATGAAAAACATGTTTATCAAATAATTAAGTCCCTTGGGGAAAATTAAGAGTCAACAACCTTGTGTTTCTGTTGTCATCTAATCAAATGCCCCCAAATATTTTTTTTCATTAATGGTACAACTGAAATTCTTTGAACACTTTTCCTAATGACCTTGGACACAATTATGAAGTGTGTCTTCAGTCACCAAGGCAGTGCCCAGGTGGACAGGTCAGTGACTAAAAGACAGGAAGCAAACTCATTCACCATGAACTATTTCATCCATGAGCATACTGTTCCACTCCTCTTCTAATATCTCCAGATCCCTCCTGGAAGCAAAGTTTAACAAGACCAAATTTATCCACCGTGGTCAACGCACTCTCCTGTATCACAATGACCTGGTTTACAAATTCAGCCACCAGAATTCCATTTAAATAAATATTGCCTGGTGGTCCATGAGCACCCAGGTTTTCCTTGGGCTTTGCCTTGCCTGAGACCTCCATAAAACAACCAGTTGCCTAAGACACAAACCCTGGCGGTGTATGCTTCCTGGTGGTGTATGTGAAGGTTGGACAATATGTAGCATATAGGAAGTCCTCAAGAAACAAATGGAAGCTAAATGTGATGCAAGGCAGGGCCAGTTCTAGAATCCCAAACAACTAACTTCCAGCCAGGACTCTGTACTAGAGCCAGGCCCTACTTGGCAAGAAGAACTTTTGGGAAGAGGTAAAAACATTTTTAATACCCTCAACTGGGCCAGGTGACAGGAGTGAGCCTAGGGTAGGCAAAAGCTGGTGAGCAATGGTTATGGGCTATGGTTGGCAGGCACGTGGCTGTGCATGATGCCTCTGAGTCTACAGGATGCCAAGACTCTACAGGAGCCCAGTCTTTGGCTGGACTTTCGCCAGAAATATGAAGTAGATCCTCTTTTAAATGTTTATTTAAGGAAAAGAAAACTGAGACCCAGAGAGGTTAAGTGATTTTCCCAAGGTCACACAACTGATTTAAGTGGCTGAGCTAGAAAACACCAAGCAGGAACTATGCCAGATGCCCTGGGGATGTCCTGCCCTCCAGGAGTTCACAGACGTAGAGTATAGCCCACCCAGTGAGTGTGGTAGGGAAAGATGTGTCAGAGCCATCCTGAAGGAGGTGAAGTTGCAGAAGGAAAAATCATGAGCCCTGAACTTGAACAACAGGGAGATGTGAAACAGCCTGGGAGGGGAGGGAGGGGAGGTTGGAGTAGGCCGAGTCACAGAAAGCCTCCAGTGTGGCCATCTAGGGGCTACCCCGGATATTGCAGGCAAAGCTGAAGGAAAATTGTGATGGCTGTTGCCAACACTCACTGAAGATTTACTATATGCTTTCTGTACATATATTAACTCATTTACTCTTCGCCACAAACCTCTATGATAGCCATCATTTCACTCTTTGTTTTCATACTCAGGCGCTGAAAAATTGGCAGGGTGGGATCTGCCCAGGAAAGTCTCGCTTCAAGCCCCTGTGCACAGCCACTAAGCTGCACTTGCCTGGAGGAGTGCAGTTTACCTCGCAGGGGTGAGGGGTTGGATCCCGGTTGGCTCTGTTTGGGAAAGATCTCTCTAGCGGCAGTGTGAAGGGTGGTCTGAGCGCTCAGCTGGAGTGAAAACAAAACCTCCCCAGGCAAGATGGGGACCTTCAGCCGGGAAGCTGGG